GAAGCTTTTAGACTCAAACTATATATACAATTATTTATTTGATTAATATATAGGTGCCCAACAAAAATTTTAAACAATCAAATATCATTTGAAGCATTGAATACTAGGAAGTCATTGGTGAATCACCCAAATGTATTTGGTTGTGTGTGCTATGCACAAAATCTAAAGGAGAAAAGGCACAAGTTGAAAAAAAAAAAAAAAGAGTGACAAATGCATATTTCTTGGTTTATGAAGAACGCAAGGTTGAAGATGAGAGTGGTTTAGCTTGTTGCCTTGTTAGTTGAGGACTTGGTGGTTTCGGATAGTAACGAAAGATGGATTAAAGAGTTTAGGAAAAAAATAATGAGAAGATATGAGATGAATGATATGGAGCTATTGCATCATTTTCTAGGCAATGAGGTTTATCAAGAAGTGTTTTCATTTGTAAAAGAAAAAAAAAAGTTTGCTGAAGGAATTCTTAAATTTTCTAAAAAAAGTCATAATGTTAGGCTGCAAATATGTTGATGTTCCTTTGGTGGTGGATAAAAAGTTAATGAAAAATGATGGAGAAAACAAGATTGATGCCACTCTTTATAGGTGTGTTTGCTTGGTGTTCGAAGAAACAACAATAAGTGGGAACGGTTTTTCACAACAATGACAATAAATCAACAATAACAAGTTAACCAAGCAATTGAGAAAACACTATTTTATTCACAAAGCAATTGAGAAAGTAGCATACCTTTTACTGGCATTAAATTAATAATATTGACAATTCATATGTATAACAACCGTTATACAATTATGTATCATTAACAATCATTATATTCCATTTTTACTAGAAAAAATGATGTTATCTTCCATTGATATTTAAATCTGTATTTCAATCTTCAGTTAAAAAGGCAAAAAAAAAAAAAAAAGAAGAGATAAAAATATAGAAGATGAACTGGTGCTATAGAAAACAAAAGGACGTGTACAAGGAAAAAAAAAGAGACTTAAGACTAGACAGGGAGGTGGTAGGAAGATCACTTAGATTTAGATATATTAATATTTGACTTATACCTAGAAGAATAATATTTTGGGTTAGGTCTATACTTTTAAATGGTCTATTAGACCTACTTTTTTGTTATACAATTTTAATTGCATTTACCTTTTTATATATATTTTTAAGTGATATTATTGGGCTTGGTTTACGATTTTTTTTTTTTTTACTTTCTTTATTTTGTATAATTAAAAAAATTTAATAATGTTTTTATTTTTCTTTTATTGCAAAAAAAAAAAAAAAAACTTAGGAGTCAATTTTTCTTCCTTCCACTCTAGCAAACAGTAACGAAATTATCATTTTATTATAACATTTTATGAACCATAATTTATTTCAATATATATATACTGAAAAAATATTATATGTTTATTTAATAAAATTATCAATTTAACATGTATTATAAAAACCTGTTACGGGTTGTTAAATGATTTACAATAATTATAGCTACAAATGTTATATTAGTCATTAAAACCCGTTCTTGCATATGTTATTGTAATGTTACTTTTTTGCAACTAATTGCTACTTAAATTTGTTCCTATCATCTATCAATCAAGTTCCAAATTTTGATTGGATCAATTTTATTCCAAATGTTTTTATTGTGAGACAAGATTATCCAAACTTGCATTTAATAGATACATTAAGTTCATAAGTGATTTTTTATGTGCCCGTTATCTCTTTTCATTTAACTTTGAAAAGAAGTTCTAATTTGTCCAAAAATGTGATTTTAGCTAAAATTTGACCTAAATCCCTCCACCTGATTAGCTTATATTAAAAAACTCAAAATCTATCTGCATCTAACCTACAATTTGAACTAAAAAGAAAACAAGATAAAAAATTAAAATAAAATAAATTATAAACGAGACTTAGTGAAACAACTTGAAAGAAAGAAGGTGACCGTAATGTTGTTGTAGTTATTATTATTATTATTATTATTTGTGTGTGCGTGTGTAGAGAGTGGAGTTTTTACACCTACCATAAATAGAGAATACAAATTGAAATAATTTTTGATAAAACTTGTACAATGAAAAGGTTTGAAACTCAATTAATAATAAAGTTATCCGTTTAAGGCAGATCCGTTTAAGGCCCCAAATAAGTAGGCCGAGCAAAAGAGCCCAGTTGTTTTTTTATGGAAAGTTTGGTATGTGGTTTAAGATGAATGGGTTAATTCCCATTAGATGTTTCGATGTCCAAATACGCATCAACCGAAAAAAAAAAAAAAAACCAATTTGTTGAGACAGGAACATCCTCCTCTCCTTTTCTTGCTAATTTAAAGTTTCCATTATAAAATAAACTAGAGTAAACTATTCATTTCACTATTTAAAATACTATTCACATACTCACGAATCATTATTCACACTCATAAATCACTATTCCTTTTACTATTTATATCATTTTTTTAACACTTTGGTCTTCAAATCTTTAATTTTTTTTTCAATTTCAAAATTTAATTATATTGTGATTTGGTCACATTTTTTTTTGTATTTTTTATTAATTATTTTTATTATTTAAAATTTACTATTTAAATTTATCATTTTTTAAATTCTCTTCTTTTTTTTTTTTCAATTTCAAACTTTAATTTATTAATTATTTTTATTATTTAAAATGTACTACTTTAATTTGTCATTTTTTTTCTAAATTCTCTCTCTCTTTTTTTTTTCAATTTCAAACTTTAATTATATTGTGATTTGATCCCATTTTATTTTAGTGTTTCTTGTTAATTATTTTTATTGTTTAAAATTTACTACTTTAATTTATCATTTTTTTTAAATTCTCATTCAATTAATTTAAAATTATATTTATTGATAGTTTTGATTTATTTTTCTATATGTAAGGATTTTGGAATAAAGTTTTAGAACATGATTATTTTTTCTTTTGAAAATTAGATTTAGATCATTTTTAAATTATAGTGGCATGATATATATATATATATATATATAATTTGTCTAAAATACATTTCTAGATTAAAATTATTTTTCAAATAAATTCTTCTGACTTTTTTTTATATTATTTAAAATTTACTACATTAATTTGTCATTTTTTTAAATTCTCTCTTCTTCTTCTTTTTTTTTCAATTTTAAACTTTGATTATATTGTGATTTTGTCCCATTTTGTTTCAGTTTTTTTTTTGTTAATTATTTTTATTAATTAAAATTTACTACTTTAATTTGTCATTTTTAAAAAATTCTTATCTAATTAATTTAAAATTATATTTACTTGACAGTTTTGATTTATTTTTCTATATGTATGGATTTTGAAATAAATTTTTAGAATATGGTAATTATTTTTTAAAAAATAGATTTACATACTTTTTAAATTATAGTGGCATGATTAATATATATAATTTGTTTGAAATACATTTTTAGATTAAAAGTGTTTTTCAAATAATTTCTTCTCGATTTTTTTTATTATTTAAAATTTACTACATTAATTTGTCAATTTTTTTTTAAATTCTCTCTACTTTTTTTTTTCAATTTCAAACTTTGATTATATTATGATTTTGTTCCATTTTATTTTAGTATTTTTTGTTCATTATTTTTATTATTTAAAATTTACTACTTTATGTCTTTTTTTTAATTCTCATTTAATTAATTTAAAATTATATTTACTAACGAGTTTTGATTCATTTTTCTATATGTATGGATTTTGAAATAAATTTTTAGAACATGATTATTTTTTCTTTTGAAAAATAGATTTAGATAACTTTTAAATTATAGTGGCATGATATATATATATATATATGTATATATATATATATATATATATGTATATATATATATATATATATATAATTTGTCTAAAATACGGTTTTAGATCAAAAGTGTATGTCAAATAATTTTTCTCGGTTTTTTTTAGAAAAAAACTCAAATTAATTAATTAATAGTTGAAAGTCAAATGTGAAAAATAAAAAGAAGATGGTTGCTCTGTGTGTGAGGCCTATATTCAAGGAATAGTTATGCTTAACATAAAAATAAAAAAATGTTTGAGGAGGAGGAAAAAAAAAAGAAAAAGAATTCACATGTTTTATTAATTTGTTTCTTCTTTATATAATCAAAATTATTTAAAATCAGATTTGTAATAATTTTTATTTTAGTCTATTAAGTTCAAATTTAATTAATATATTTCTTGTAAGTTAAATTTTTATAGTATTTTTTGTTTTAGATCGAAAACTCTAAACTCGCTTAGTATAGTTATGACGTATAAAAAAATATTAAATTGTTGTTTTTTTAGAAATCAACTGTGCAACTACTACTACACTAAGCATTTACTATTTATTTATTTGTTTTTGAATATTTTAAAATTAACTTATTTTAAATTAAATAATTAAAATAATGTTTTAGCTTAACCGATCAAAGATTCGAAATAATATAGTTTTTTATTTTAATATTATCCATTCTTTTGTAAATAAATATATAAAAATTAAGTCCACATGTTTTCAAAAACCAATATTCCCATCAACATTAAATAAAAAAATATATTTTTTCAATAACATGTAAACTTTTACTAATTGTTATTTATGATTTTCGACACAATCTTATGAAATACTAAAACTTTTTTCAAAAAAAATTATTTAATTTTCTTTTTAATTAATGATCCATGATTTAACAAGGATGAAATCTCTTTTTAAAAGAAAAATTATGAAAAACATAAATAAGAAATAGTTAAATATAAATTTTCTGATTAAATAATTTTTTACACCTTTGATTTTACATAATTTTATAGATTCACATCATAAAATAAATAATCAAAACTGAAATAATTTTTCTAAATGATTTTATGTATTTTATTCAACTCGCAACATAGCTGAGTAAAAAACCTAATATCAGCTTAACATAAAGATAAAGGGACAACGCGCCCCTTTTTTTGTCTAGTCCCCGTGAAAAGCAAAGCAATCATCATCAAGCTCTAAATGCTTGAGAGGGCGTACTAATACCCTCAACCGATTATTTATTTAATATAAGAAACTCTTGCATGCAGGAAACACTTAAAAACTGACAAATCCTTTCTCCTTCAAGCTTTCAACTGTTTCCTTAACGCTTTCTTCCAAAGAAATGAATTCAATACCCAAGCTTTTTGCTTTTTCCTTGGAAACCTGAAAGATCGGCACATATGGCTCATCATCCGCACACCTGCCAAGGGTTTTCACAATAACAAAGAATTAATATATTTTTTGATGAAAAATTGCAGATGATTACAGAAAATTCTCAAAGACAAAACAATCTACATTGTTCAATAACCCATCTTCAAACACTCTAGTTCTTTTTAAAAAATGGCCTACAATGAACACAAATGAATTCAGGTATTCCATAATGACAAAACAATTAACTAGAAGCAGCTAAGACATGATAAAATCATCAAAACAGACTGATGATTGTGCTTTTCATCTTTCATCGTGTATTCATACTTCAAGGTCAAACACTTTCCAAAAGAGATGCATGATTAGAAACCTTTGATTATGGTCAATTATTCCATCTTTGCTTGCTTCATCCATCTTCATATCCCACACCACGAAAAATGGGAACCACCATTATCCGGGAATGGTGTAGTAATCTAGCTTTCAATGCGCATTTTGCAATAGAATGCGGGCTACTGAACGGAACATTTTTTTTTATGAGCTTTTCAACTGGCACACGAAAGTGCGATCAGTAATAAACATCACAAGAATGGATAGGCACACTACCACCTTACTAAAATCTTTGCTTACCAAATATGTGTAAGATGCCATGAAAACCATGCAAAATAAGGTGACAAAAAGGTAAATGTTTCCGCCATAAAGGGTAAAATCAGAGGAGGAAAGAACATGAGTAAGATCAATTAAGAGAAAAGGTAAATTATAATGGGGGAAAGGCTCACTTTTCCGGAAGTTGTACATCAGGGTAAAGCTCATGCAGAATCTTTACTATTTCTGAGTAGTGTGCCACTCTCTCAACCAAACAATATCTCCCACTAGCTGATGACAGCTCAAATGCTTGAATGTGTGCATTGGCAACATCTTTAACATTTACCCATCCAAAAGATGCATTGGGGAAGGTTTGTGCTCCTGCATTCAACACAGAGGCATGAAAGTAGCCACATGCTTTATGGAAAAGAATATTGTCTAACCAAGGAGTCGCTACAGTATTCTTATTCCTAAATAAAGTAACAACACTAATGTTTGGGTTTTCTCCTCTTCAAAACACTATTTTAACTTGGTAAAACAAGTGAGCCAGTATTGAAATCAAGTAACATGGGAGATGCAAAAATTTTAACAAATAAACAGAAAACAAATGCTTTTAAATTGCATTTCATGTCACTTATCCAAGTTCTCTACAGAATTATATTTGCTTTTAATTTGTTCTTCACAGAGAGTGACTTGTTGAGATGAAATACATGCTACTGCTTACTTACAGGATGAAAAGATTAGTCTTGTTAACATAAAGAAGTACCTTTCATTAGGCTTAAAATTGTTGCAGCACTTGTATTTAGTGTTGGCTGCAAGAGAGGGCCAATTACCATTGCTGGATTTATTGCAACCATGTCCATACCCTTTTCTTTTGCAAATTTCCATGCAGCATCCTCAGCCAAAGTCTTTGAGAGCACATACCAAAGCTAAAAGTAGACGGTAAAGAAGGGATTAGAGATAAAATACTGTTATACCTAACCAGAGTCCAATGTAAAATGCAAGTGGTAGAAACATTTCGTTATCATTTACGCATCAAAAGGCAGGGGACAGAAAAATGTGTTAATGGAATGGACTAGGATGAGAGAAACCGCTCGTTGAATATAACATCGAGATTTAAGATCAAATCGGTCATGAGAAAATAAACTACCAATGTTAAAATTCTCTAGAACTACATCACAAGGATGGCTATAGGGTCTTTTTGTTTCCTCAATATTTACATTAATGATTTGGTAGCAGAAAATGAAATTTATTCAGATGATTTAGTAGAAGTCTAGAAGTGTAGAAGCATTATCTTACACAGTAAAAATGTTCCAAGTTAGTAGCAGAAGCAATAAAAGATAGATTCGTAATGCCATTTAGATTCAATTCATCTTCAAAAGGAGTTTCCATATCCAATGTGAGAACAGTAAAGACAATTCTGTCCTTGCATCTCTCCATCACTATTTTCTCTGTATTTCTACACATTATAATTTGATATTCTGCTAACCTCTTAACTTTCTTAGAGCAATGTCCAAATAAACATCAAAACAAAGAAAGAGGCATCATGAGCACCTAACGTAAAACGACAGAATTCACAAGGTACTTGTGCCACCACCATCTGGCTCAACTAGCAAAACCATATTCCAGAGTACCAAAAATCTCAGAACGGAATTATTAAAAGGTACAAAAATTAACTGTGATTTTATTTCCATTTCAAAAGCTATAAAGAATAAAACAAATTGACACTAAGCGAAGACGATTTGAAAAATTGAAAAATGTTTTTTTCTTTCTTTTGAAGATTCAGAAAGTATTGGCAAGTTTACACACCTTAGATTCTCTACATAGGTCCGGATCAGAAAACCAAGTTTCATCCACTACTACATCTGGGGTTCGAGGCTTCCTATTACAAACAACTGCAGCAACGGAAGATGTTAAAACAACTCGTTTGATTGAGGAGTGTTTTGCACAGGAGCCAAGAACATTGAGTGTTCCTTTCACTGCAGGATCAAGCAACTCTGCCTGAAATGAGAGAAATTGACTATAACCAATTGAAGTAAAACAAAAACAAGTTCAAACTTCAATATCTGAAAATTCATGAAAGAGTCTTGACCCTAAGACAAAAGACAAAAGTTAATGTTGCCAACTATAAATCAGCTTCAACTGAAAGGAGTAAGTTTCCATACTGCACTATAACAGCACAGTTCAAGAATCTGAGGAGGAAAATAAGCATTTATATAGGACAGACCTTTGAGAATCTGAGAAGAAAAATAAGCATTTATATGAGCCAGACCCTTTTTTCCCCTTTCCAGGTAAGCTTTAATTCACAGCCAAACACAACTGACCTAGGAGCATTTGTGTAAGATATATTCTGAAAAGCATGCTGCTTGGTGCTGGATAAACTCTTGTTTCAGCATCTTAATTAGCAAGAAGTAATTTTTGTTCATAATGTCAATCTAACCCTGACAGTGAATCAATATAATGATGAAACCACCATGTACTGCTGTCATTGTTGGATTCAAGTATACTATAGAATATTGATCAGTAACTTTTTGTTCTTTAAAGCCGTTTCAGTGTTCATACACAAGTATTTCAAAGGGTCAGCATTTAGATAGAATCCAGGGTTTACTGAAGCTTTCTAGAAGAAAAAGCAGATGCATTGTTAAATTACTTTCCATATCAAATTAAAGTTCCTCGTCAATGTATATATATAGCTATTAAAAGTTAGCTGCAAATATACATAAATATACATACATACAAATATCTACACACACTTGCATATATATTCAACCGTTGGCTGTTGCAATCTGGCATATCAAATTACGATTCCTTTTCAATGAATAAAAGTTTATTTAATATAGAAGCTACCAAGTAACCTATTGCATATCACTATTGCAATGCTTGTGACAGTTAATCAGAGGTCAAAAGAAAAACATCGCAGCAAACTTGAATCATCACCTAAAAAAGCAGAAGACAATTAAACAATGCTACATCTTTGTCTACCAAATTAATTTGTCTACTGACAGCTTAAAATTCAAACAGTGGTAAAGGGGACAGCACCAACTTATCATGCAACAAAAAACATTAATGTCAAAATCATGAGCTGAAGTCTAAAAGGCCATCATAAAGGTTTTCAGCAACTGGATTTTGAAGGGGAACCAACACTTGAACAGAGATTTAATTTATATTACTTTTTCTCTCTCTCATGTCATTTTGCAAGGTTCTGACCACTTCAACTCAACAATGAAGTGCCTGAACCATGCCTTCTAGAGGAGATAGATGGTACATGCTATATTGGGGAACCATCTGAGATTCTTCCTGATTTTCATAAACAATAAAATCTTAAGTACATAAGAAACACTGCAGTTATTTAAGATTAAGTATGAAGGATTAACCTGTGGGTCCTTGACATCATTATAAAAAGGAGATGCAGTGTGGAAAACACCTTCACAGCCTTCAACAATAGAATCAAAGGAACCTTCTTCCAATAAATTTGCTTTGAACAGCTGAAGTCTCTCCTTAGCTCCACCAAGTGCACGTAAATGTTCTGTCTTTCTGGGATCATCTGCAGAATGGAGATTGAAAACAATTACTAAATCACTGAAATAGCAAGCTGTTTTTGGTAAATATAAATTGTGATGGGCAAAAACCACACTATTTCCCCTAAGTCGTCTTCACAGGAAAAAACATAAGCAGTATCACTCAGTCATGATGAACAGAGCGTGCCCAAACTAGAAAGTAAATAACATTATATTTCTCCAAGGTACAATAGAATAGATTACTTTTAGTGTTAGTTGCAATTTAATGCATGATGAAGCAGCATTGTTTTTTAGTAATAAGCATTTTGCATAGGGACTTGCATGTTTGTGTTGAAGTGAAAACAGGTAACAAGATGGGTTGGCATGAATTTCAGGAGCTAAAATACCATGTGGAATGATAAATCTGAGTCTCTCCAGAAATCACAAGCCAAGTTATCCAAAAGTCTCAATTTAAGTAGAATCATGGTTCAAATTAGATACAAAAAAAAAAAAAAAATGTTACATCAACAAAGAAGAAATGCCAAAAACACCACTGGACTCTTACTAGAAGTGGGTACCTGTCCCCCTACAGGAAGGGGAAATCATGCGCTTAAAACGTGCAGGGTGGTTCTAACTCATTTGGGTGGGAGGAAGGCTTAACCCAATGTTACATCATTTAACCATAATTTTCAAATACTATTCCAAGTTTGATACAAAAATAAGAAACTAGGGTGAAATAGTGAAAGTAACATTTTTGAAGTGCCAAAACAATCTGACATTTGCAAGGACAGCAACAGCAATATGCCTTTGAATTTTCTCATTGCATGAACTCAATTAAAAGAGATTCTTTTTCTCATTGCTAAACAGTTCATGTTTTCAGTTAATTACATGATCATCATCACTTCATGATTTTGATCTTTACTAAGCTTAGAAAGATAAATTTTAATTCTCAATCCACAAGAAGTTTCTAATTCCATCAAAATCCACCCTCTTAAATATTATAATAATAAAGAAGATGACCCATTTTCTTTTAAAACATTTCGATCACCTAAAACAGAAAAAAGGAATCTATTCTAGTCCCCCGAAATCCATGACCATCCATAAGAAAATGATCTCATCGCTATCCTTAATGAGTTAATCTTAATTTTGCAATTAAATAACATCATAATCGATATGTTTATAAAATAAAAAATAAAAAACAACAAAGACACTGTGGAAGAGTGAGTGAGTGAGTGAGAGAGTGACTGACTTGGGTCACGAACAGAGGCCTTGACAGTGTAACCACGTGAGAGAAGGAGCTTGACAAGCCAAGAAGCTATGTAGCCCGAGGCTCCAGTCACGCACACGATCTTTCCGGCTCCACTGCTCATTTTTGAAGCTTTTTTCGTTTGCCATTCTCTACCTGTCACTCTGTTTTGTATCGTCTTCTTTTGGAAATGTGGTCGGTGATTTTAGCTAATCTTATCTCGTTTCCTACATTGACATCTGTCTGTCGGTCCTCTTTCCTTGCTTGGGCCCTACAAGTTTTACTGATTTGCCTTTTTTGGTATGATGTGAAAATAATAGTCAAATTCTCCATACAATTTATTAATTATTTTTTTGAGGAAAAAAAAACGGATTTCCATTGAATTCCAGTTATTCAATTCTCAGGGTCATAATTCTCATTGAAAATGGTACATACATAGGAACCTGAATGAAATAAAGGTGAAGTTACAGAGACCAAATTGTAATTTGGCTTGACATTGAAAGTTAGACACCTCTTTCACTATTAAGTATATTGCCATATCAAGAAATAGTTAGATTAGTTTTTGATTAATTTTTTCCGAAAATGATAGAATGATCTGAACTCTTGCTTCAATAATGTGGATAATGAGAAGGATTATGATTGAGTGACTCTTATTTTAGATTCTAACTCAAATTAATATAACAGGAAAAAATAAGAGTATTTTGCCACGTGTTGGTTGTATCTCCATTGAAAAAAATATAAAAAATATTTTTTCACTTATTGACTTTACATTCATTATTTATCAACTTTTGTGGCGAGCATCAATTTTTCTTATCGGTCTTTAATTAATTACTAATTATCAAAACAAAGGAAGTTAACTGTCCTTAATTAAATGTAGGGTTCATATTAAAAAGGAAAAAAATCAAATTATTTAAGGAATAATGTATCAATCTTCTTTACATATTAAGAGTATTCTCTGATATGTATTTTTTAAAAAAATCTGATATGTCCTTTGTATTTATATTTTATCCCTATATCTTTTTCATCCCTTTTGGACCAAAGTTCCCCTTAAAACATTTTTTTTAAAAAAAGAATAATTTTCAAAAGATAAAAAAAATAAATGTAAAAAACCTTGAAAACTCTATATAATTGGGAAAAAAAATGAATAAACTAGAAAGTACACACTTGGAACATCTTAAAAAAAATCGAAATAACTCATAAAATATATACAAAAAGATTTCGAACTAATAAAAATTTTAAAAAATACGCACCTTATTTCATTTTTGTATACATATTTATATTTACAAAGATTTATGGATATGATTTTTATTTTTTAATATATCCATTTTAAAGTCGGTTGTTTCCATTTTTTAAAATATTTTTATTTTTTTTAGACAAAAAAAAAATCATGGCTTTTTAAAGTTTTTAATTAATTTTTCATATTTTTGGTTTTTCAACATTAATTTTCCTTTTAATGATTGTAGGGAAATTTTTATCCAAGACCTATGAAGTTTTATGGAAATGATTTTTATTTATTATATAAATTCAAAGTTGGTTTTATTATTTCTAAGATTTTCAATCTTTTCTAGATTTTTAAATGTTTTCATGTCTCATGGAATTTTTTTCATGGCTTTTAATTTTTTAATTTTTTTTAAAATTAATTGTCTTTTGATGGTTGTAGGAAAGTTTTTGTTCAAAAAGTAACAAAAGATATACAAAGACATGTGAAAGTGAAAATTTATTATAAAGATATATGGGAGAATGTGCTAATATATAAAGATAAATTGACCGAGTTAACTAAAGAAATAGAAAAAATAACTAACTCCTTAATAAAGATAGACGGATCAATCTATTAGGCATTGTTTCGTATCATTTTGGTTTTCTCGTTTCTGATTTTTTTTATATAAAAAAACAAAAAGCACATTTGATTGTACCATTTGGATTTTTAAAAAATAAAAAGTGGTTTTTTCATTTTTTTTTTATAAGATATAATGATATCAACATTGTGGCTGCCATATCGCCACATTTCCACAACAATCATCACTACACTACATTACCAATGTCATTCCTACTACAATCATCACAACCATCACCTCCTTTTGATATCATTATTATTATCATTAATTCTACTAACACTATTATCATTAACAAAAAAGAAACACTAAAAAAAAAATAGTATTTACTATTTTTGTACCGTGCACCTTACTCTTAGTGCTCACCCAAATGAATTGTGTCATTTCCACTATTTAGCAAAAATGTTTTAGTCTAGTCCTTAAATTTTAGGAGAAAAAAATCAGTACAAAACTTCATTTCTTTTTCACTATGATCCTTGGATGCCTAAAAAAGAGAAAATCAAGTGCTTGCGCATGCGCGCGCACACACGTAGACAAAGGCTCGTTTCAACTATCTAAACAATCGAAATTACCTTCAATTTATTTCTATTAAAGAGGTCCGTTTGTGATCACAAACGATAAAATGGTTAAAGGAGATGAATAGAGGTTTCAAAATTTTTTGAAGTTTTGATTTGAGTTTTGATATGTTTTGTTTGCATTAAAATAGGTTTTAAGACTATAAAAGAGTTTATTAATCTTATTTATATAATTTTGAAGGTGAAATATTTTTTTCAGTTAACTCTGCCTTGAGTAAGCCTGGAACTAGGGTCATGCACGCAGGCCTGTGCTTTAGCATTTTTTATATTTTATTGTAATATTTTTATTGATAATTTTTAAGCAAAAATTATGAAAGATTAGACATTATTTTTTGTGTTTCTCATGCAACCAATGAGAATAATATATATATATATATATATATATATATATATATATATATATATATATATATATATAACATATATTTTATATTATATTACTATTATTATTTAAAAAAATCTTTTAATTTCTTATTTCTTATGCAAATTATCATCCGATGAATTCTATTTATTTATTATAAAATTTTATTTATTGATACGTATATATATATATGTATATGTGTATATATATATATATATATATATATAGAGAGAGAGAGAGAGAGAGAGAGAGAGAGAGAGAGAGAGAGAGAGATTTTGTAGTGTTTTTTAAGAGCATTATTGTTCTTTTGTAATTATAAGAATTTTTAAATGATGACTGCATGGTTATCATTATATATTCAATGTAAAGGTTACTAGTGTATTTTAGATAACTTTTTTTAGAATTTTTTTTTATATTTTTTGGTTTGTACTTCACATTTTCAACCTACTAAATATAGTATGATATAAAAAAAATCATCAATTTTATCAAAAATTAACTATATATTTATACACATAACACTAATCATTTGTTGTTAGTTTTGTTTTTCAATAAAATTCGTTTTTTGCCACGTTTTTCGATCAGCCAAGGCTAGTTGGGAATTACAAATGGAAGGCACATCATTCGATGCACTTGGAACGGACGATGTGTCATCTGTCTTCTATTTCCTTCTTTATTTTTTTAGTTAACTTTGCCTTGCGTGAGCCTAAAACCAGGGCCAAGCGCGCAGCCCTGTGCTTTAGCATTTTTTATATTTTATTTTAATATTTTTATTGATAATTTTTAGGTAAAATTTACGAAAGATTAGATGTTGTTTTTTATGTTTCTCACGCAGCTGGATATTTTTTTATATTTTAAAATAAACATATATATTATAATATTATTCTTATTATTTAAAAAAAAATTTCAATTTCTCATTTCTTATGAAAATTCTCATTCGATAAATTTCTAATTATTTATTATAAAATTTTATTTATTGATAATTCTGATTTATATATATATATATATATATATATATATATATATATATATATATATATATATATATATTGATTTTGCAATGTTTTTTAAGAGCATTATTGTTCTTTCATAATTTATAATGATGATCGCAAGGTTATCAATTATATTCAATGTAATGATTGAGAGTTTATTTTGGATAATTTATTTTAATATTTTTTTATTTGGAATTCACACTCTCAGTCCACCAAGTATAGTTATGATGTATATAAAAAAATTAAATCATCAATTTTATCAAAATTTAACTATGTGTTTATACACATAACACCCAACCATTTGCTACTAGTTTTTTTTTTTACTAATTTATTTCAAATAAAATAATTAAAATGATGTTTTAAAAGAACCATCAAATGATTAAAATATAGTTTTTATACTAATATTATTGATTATTTTGTGAATAAATAGATATAAATCAAATATATATACTTTTAAAAATAATCTTCTCATCACCATTAAAAAAAATAATCATTTTCTTACAAAATCTTATGAAAAATATATTTTGATGGCATGTTTTTGAATTTTGGATAAAATTTTCAATTTATATTATCACGAATTTTTATTTAAGAATCATTACATCAAGAAAAAAATCTTGCTTTTTTTGAGTTTGAAAAAAAATATAAAAAACACAAAGAAAGATTAATTAAATACAAAATTTTGATTAAAAAATTATAAATTTTTGTTTTTTGTTTTTCTTAATTAAATACGAGATACTTAGTTTTAGGATCTAATGTCCACTAGATGAGATTCTATAAATATTTGTACAAATTTATTGTTCATTTTTTTTTCCTATTGGTCATCCTTTTGAGGTCGTGTTACTTTTATACTCCTAAGTTTTTATTGTAGTGATTGATGTTGTTAATTGTTTTGTGGAACCTTTAAGTTGAAAAACAAAAGTGGCAATATTTATTGAAAATTATATATATATATATAATTTTTTTAGATTAATCTATTTTAGGTTTCTTAGATTCTTTTAAAATTAAGTGGCAGTTTTAAATTTCAAACATTTCATTAATTAATAATGTGTTATTATATTTTTAAATTAAGTTTGTATAAGAGTTATTTCTTCGCACAAATCTTTATATATAAAAAAAGGTTTTCAAAGAACAATAAAAATAACCACAAAATTTTTTTTAATTTTTTAAAAACATAAAATCAAAAATAGAAAATGAAACCGAATCTGCTCTAGTATGTAAATCAAAGAAGCTGACTTCAAGAAACTAAAAAAGTGGTTGTAATAATTGATTTTCTGCTCACAAATCACAACACCTCTGGCATTGGATAAGCACCACGTGGCTAGTTGTTAGTGCGTGTAGGGTCCTTCTACTAAAAAGTTTTACCAACA